CCCTGACTTGTGGGGGCATGAATGTTAGTACACACTAGACTTATGAGGACATTATATTTGTGTATAGTGATGTATTTACATTCCCTGACTTGTGGGGACATGAATGTGATTACACACAATACTTATGGGGACATTATATTTGTGTATATTGATGTATTTATATTCCCTGGCTTGTGGGCACAGTAATGTGGTTACACACTAGACTTATGGGGACATTATATTTGTGTATATTGATGTATTTATATTCCCTGACTTGTGGGGACATGAATGTGATTACACACTAGACTTATGGTGACATTATATTTGTGTATTTTGAGGTATTTATATTCCCTGACTTGTGGGGACATGAATGTGAGTACACACTAGACTTATGAGGACATTATATTTGTGTATAGTGATGTATTTACATTCCCTGACTTGTGGGGACATGAATGTGATTACACACAATACTTATGGGGACATTATATTTGTGTATTTTGAGTTATTTATATTCCCTGACTTGTGGGGACATGAATGTGATTACACACTAGACTTATGGGGACATTATCCCTTACGAAAAAATCCTATAGGAATTCCTATAGGAAATGCCATTTCCTATAGGAATTCCTATTGGATCCTATAGGAATAGAATTCCTATAGGAATTTTCTATAGGAATTTCTATAGGATCCTATAGGAATAGATTTCCTATAGGAATTTCCTATAGGAATTCCTATAGGATCCTATAGGAATAGATTTCCTATAGGAATTTCCTATAGGAACTGAATTCCTATAGAAATTTCCTATAGGAATTCCTATAGAAATTTCCTATAGAAATTTCCTATAGGAACTGAATTCCTATAGGAATTTCCTATAGGAATTTCCTATAGGAAATTCCTATAGGAATTTCCTATAGGAATTTTCCTATAGGAATTTTCCTATAGGAATTTCCTATAGGAATTTCCTATAGGAATTTCCTATAGGAATTCCTATAGGAATTCGTATAGGATATTCGTATAGAATATAGAATCGTATTGCTGCTATTATATGTTTTTACTCTGTTTTTTATAGCAAAATACAAAACAAGTGTAACTCCAAAGATCTATATCGATCGATATATATTGTTATCGATCTTTGGAGTTAAACTTGTTTTGTATTTTGCTAAAATACTCAGTGGTTATGTTTTTAGTATCAATGTGTTTAGCTAGCTAGGATTTCTATAATTCCTGATGGTCCCTAATGGAAGCATTCCTATTGGAATTTTATCCCTAATAAGAATATAAGATACAGCCAACAGTTCGCGCTTCAACTGGACGCCCTGGTGACTAGTTTACGTTTCAGAGCGCAAAGCTTTATGGGATAGCATCGTTTTATTTGTGATAAAAAGTAGTTGGTGTTATAATTTTGTGCTTGGAATATTTCGTTGTTATTTTTAACCCAAACAGTGGAAAAGGAATCGGAAAGTTCTTAACATGTTATTCAGATGTCACAGGTAAGAATACTTTTGTATTTGACTTATTATTTATGCACATATCAACGGCCTGCCCTGGGGGTACACCCCCGGGACACCCCGGGACTTTGAAAAAACACGATTCTAATGCATTAATTCCCCCTCCCTCCCCCGGGAAATGTGTAAGTCAAACTGCCCTCCCCCTGGGGCTTAGAATAAAGTAGTTCATAATATAAATAAATAGCGTACAAACAATTAAAAATTCAGGGTGTTAGCTAGCCCATATACTGTCCGTCCATTTGACGGACTCTTCCCAATTGAAGTAGTTAAGGGGCTTTTCCATTAACTATTTTCTCAAAATGTTTCGCGTTTCATTCATATTGGGTGTGTATTCGCTGAAATGTACAAAACAAAGTGCCTCCATCGGTGGCATCCGTGTTCATTCACCAGAAATGAAATAGAAAAAACCAAGCCACTGTTGTTTGTATCTAAGAAGAAACACGTTGGTAAAAACACTATTTATTCCTACACAAGGACTTTGATCGGTCAAAAAATTTTTTCCCAATTTACATTGAACGGACAAAACGTTTTTTTTCTGGCTAACACCCTGAAATTATCATACAAACTGGGGTATCACAATGGCACTCATGTATTCTGTATTTATTTATTCAAATTTTAGCAAGACCACAACAAAATATCATAAATAATAAGTTGGCGATCGATATTTTTCTCCGTGAGCCTGCGATTTCGAGTTCGCACCAATTGTTCACTTCATTTATAAAATTCAAATTGTCACATCAAAGTCCCCTACTTCCCCTCCCCCCGTCGTCCTATTATTGCGAAGTTTGTAATTTCCCCGGGGTTCACGGGCAGAATACACGGCTAAAATACCAAATTCCCCCTCGTTTCCCCCCGGTTGTCCCGGGGGTGTACCCCCCGGGCAGGCCGTTGATATGTGCATTAAGCACTTTAATTGCAAAATAATGTGGTGAATATCATTGTTAACTTGAGCCATGTGGGCCATGTGTCTTAAAATTCCGTTGAATGTTTGAATTTGCCGCGTCAATTTGCATATAAAACACACAAAATGTTGGTTTCTGGCAGTAAAGAAAGAATGAAATATAAGTTCGAACCTATTATTGTGAATTCTATACTAAATTTCACACTATTATTAACAATTTAGCAATATTTTCTTTGGCATAATTTGACACTTTGCTTGAAGTTAAGACTATTGTAAAGCTGGGTAAATAATTATATAAAATAATATATATTAAACATCCAAATGCTTTTAAAGATATGTTTGCATTTTAATACTACAATAAGGATTGGAATCAGAGAGGAACGACAGCATTAAATGTGCTATTTTTAGTGTATCGATAATCAATCTTTAGTGTCCTCTACTGTATTTGCATTACTCTGTCTAAAATCTCTAAATTGCAAGATGATTTTACTTGTCAAGGGGAGAGTCTTTTAATAGTGTGTTTATAAAGAGCTTCACTTGTATAAAGTGATGTTTGTAATGATAGTGCTGAGACAGTGCCCCAAATGTTGTCTTTGTATATATTTCAAGATTAATATTTGAGCTGGGCAGTGCTTGTATGTAGCCCTGGCTCCAAGTATTGTTTTCAACAATCAGCAAATATAACCAGATTCACTAACAATAGTCCATAGTTTATTTAATATGTGCTTTATCACTTTATATATTAAGCATAAATATCTGTGGCACGGCATTGATAGTTTTGGATGGCCTATATTTTGCCAGATGCCAGTAACCCAATCCAGCATATCCCTACTCTCTGCCCAAGGCCATGTCTCTTCTTAACATACTATACATATTACAAGATATTATTTGCACTTGACTTGTTTGGATTAGATACTGGGTTTGGTGGATAATCCTATATATATATATATATATATATATATATATATATATATATATATATATATATATATATATATATATATATATATATATATACTATTTAATTAAGACCTATAACCAGGAACGATTGCGAAAAATGTAACACTAAATCGTCGACCAGGAATTGAACCTACAGCCCTGTGCTTCCGAGGCAGCGCTCTAACCAACTGAGTTCCAGAATCGCAGGGCCATAGGTTCGATTACTGCCAGAGGACTTAGTTTTCACTTGGATTATTCACTATTGAACCAAGTATGTAATATTACACCCTGCATTACCTTGTACCAATATGAACCTGTAGTCTTTGTGATTCATGGTGATTATGACAATAAACTATGGAAATTATCTTATATATAAAGGATAAATCTTATTATTTATTAAAAAAATTTCTGGTTTCTGATTGGCTAACAGCCAACTGTGAAATTGTCGTATCAACTCAGTGGCTAACCAAATATGAATTTTTCAAAATGAAAAAATTTGGGACGTGTTTGCGACGAGAATCATATCGACTCGCTGACGCCATTGATATGATGACGATGACGGCTGCCGAAGGACTAACTAGGATTTTTTTTCTTAATACAAATAAAATACAAATGGGTTCCATTTGTTTTGATTTTTTTAATTAATTTTAAATAAATAATAAAACAATTATTGAATTTGGTTTTTGCACAATATGAAGAATTATCAAGCCCTCAGTTTGCTGTAACAGTTATCAACCTCAGCCTTTGGTTGATAACAGCAAACTTTGGGCTTGATAATTCTTCATGTCATGCTCAACCTCATTCAATAATTGTTAAATATTAATTAAAAACTGTTTTTACATCAAGAGTTAATAGTCCCTTATAACTGACTGAGGAGTGTCTCAGTTTAGGAAGCAAGTGCATTGTTCTAGTTTTTTTTATAGGGTATAATTTACTAATTATGATTATATTTTCAAATAAATAATGTTTTCCTTTTACAGATTCCAATATGATGGATCTCTGGTGGCATTTGCATGCTGTACTCGGAGCAGTATTAAATGTACATGAAGAAATCAATGGACTTGAACAAATGGTTTGTTAGATCATAATATTGATAATACGGCATTGTGAGAAACTCTATTCGCCACAACACATTGCTGTGCAATCAGAACTAAACATAGTCATCTATAAGAATGACAGAAAATAAAACTTATGTAGTGCATACAGAATTTTCTATTTTTTAAATACATAATATAGGTAATATAATATAGTACAATTTTATGTCTAAAAAAATTCTAAAAGTAAGAAAATATAAGAAACATTTCTTAAACTGAGAACAATGAAAAATGTCATAAGTTAAAAAGATAAATAGCCTAAATTAGTATGTTATATGTAAATATAGCCTGTTATATTTGCCACATTTTTATCTGTAATAAATTTTTTTCACTAGTTTCTCTTTTTCCTTCACCTTGGTAAATAACTCTTTTAGGCAGTTTGATTTAGAGGATTATGCAAGAATTTCTATATGATATATAAGATATCTATGGATCCAATATGAATTTCTATGTAGGATCCTATAGGAATTCCTATAGGAAATTGGGTCAAAATCTAATAGGAATTCCTATAGGATCCTATAGGAATTCGTATAGGAATTCCTATAGGAAATTGGGCCAAAATCTAATAGGAATTCCTATAGGAATTCCTATAGGATCCTATAGGAATTCCTATAGGAATTCCTATAGGAATTCCTATAGGATCCTATAGGAATTCCTATAGGAAATTGGGCCAAAATCTAATAGGAATTCCTATAGGAATTCCTATAGGATTTCCTATAGGAATTCCTATAGGATTTTTTCGTAAGGGCTTATCATCATTTTACATGCCAAACAACCTTAGTACATAAATTATAACGTAGCTAGGTTTACACATAACTAAAAGTAAACGTTGTCTGTCTAAGATTTTTATTTAAACGACCTTTCGCGACTACCTAACTGTAGTCTCGGGCGGGTAAAGCGGAATGAATTAATTACAAGCGTGCATGTGTCAGGTGATGTTATAACAATAAGTGATTGGTGTGATAATTATAGCGTCTAGCCATGACATTTTTTATTAACCACCATAGCACTGTATATTGTTTAGGAAGCAACTTACAATTATTTTCATAATTTATTATTATAGCAGTATGCCAAGATTCTAGTAATGTTTACGTGTCCGATACTTGCCACTATCAAATTACTTTCCCATTATAGTCTAGGACCTGTATATGAGTTTGTATGCGATTCATTTAGGACAGGTAATCTCAACTGTTTTAGGGTAAAATGACCATGGCGGTCAACATGGCATATGTGCCAAAACCTGAATCCGGGACGAAAGTCCTGAAAATGACCCCGCCCTGAA